CTGTAAGATGACATCCGTGGGCCGGCTTTCAGTCCCGAGGCGGAACAAGCAAGCTTCAGCTTCAGGGGAACGGCTGCAGTAGGCGGAGAGATAAGATAGACGATATAGAGTTAGGACACGTGTGTGAGGGAGGATCCATGGAACGCTTGTAGGAATTAGTAATAGCAAAAATAACGTTATAAATCGGACTTTTTCGCCGGGATGGTATTTCTGATTTCAATTACACAAGGCTCCAGGTTCTGTATTTTTCGTTGTCGTCATATAAACGAAGAAAGAATCATTTTTTTGTGTGATTGGCAGTTTTGTAGTAGTTGTGATTCCTTTTTTTTATATTCTTCTCTTTTTTTCTTTTTCTTTTTTGGTTTAAACTTCGTATCCCCGATGGCCGTGCTAAACGGGGTGATACCAGCATCCTCACCCCATCCTCGTTTAGCAGGTCCCGGTGTGTCCAAGGCTCCATCGATTGGTGGAGAGCCCAATGCCCATCTATTGGTGGGGAGAAGCATTGGAAATCGGTTATTTACGCCTTTCACTATCTACCTACCACTCCTCCTCAGTCTGTACAGGGGACTTTTTTTTTTTTTTTTTTTTTTTTTAAAAAAAAAAAACGCCTTTTTATTAAAGAAAAAAAAAAAAAAAAAAAAAAAAAAAAAAAAAAAAAAAAAAAAAAAAGGAAGAGGCCGGGAATCCTCAACAAACAACCCGGGTCGTGAACACGGTTCTGGCTGCTACGGGGTTCCCCGTATGCCTACAATTAGGAGTAGTGGTAGGTAGGAAGTGTGAGGTGAAATTGGGCGAAGAATATACACGCAGACTTTTGGTACATGGAGCACGTTGTTTTTATATGAGGTCGGTTTGACCTTGGTCCTGATTGTGGTTGGCCGCAGTGAGAGTTGGTTCCTCGGACCGAAGCTGAGAGTGCGTGAGCAAGCAGGATCGCCAGAGCGTGCAACCTTGTCAAGCGGGGCGAGCAAGCATGGAGGACGGAAGAAGAACGCAATCCCGCCATCGCCTCAGCTCGCAGCTGCCAGCTGGCCGGGCCGAGAAAGCGCCAGGAGATGGCGGCTATGGCGGCTATGGTGGTGGTGGTGGTGGACGTCGTCGGCCACATGCCGCGTCAAGCAGAGGGCTTTCGCTTCTGCCGACACGTGGCAGCTCCCTCGGGAGAGCAGCACCAGCAGCGTATTTCACTCTGCTCGTCTCTCTCTTCCTCGTCTCGGGACTGGCCATCTCGCCCATCGCGCAAGCCCAGGCAGCCACGTCTGTCGGGATCCCGATGCTGGCGTCGATCGGAGCTTTCGCAGGGGTGACAGACACGGCCGAGGAGTTCGCGAGGTCGCTCAAAGAGGAGACGGGCGGCAAAGTGTTCATCTCCAACATCACCTACGATCTTGCCCGGGACGTGGTGTTCCGGGCGGTGAGAGAGGGGCGAGCCATCGGTCTGGGCGCGCCGGGCAACTACGCCAACTTCACGGGAGTCGATCCTCGTACCATTCAATACCTGCAGAACGACGTACCTTTCGCAATGTCCTTCCCACAGTTCGACGCCTTCCTGCGCCAGGCCAACTTCTCCCGCTACTGGGATCAGGTGTACAAGCCTTTCGGCATCCGGCCGTACCATGCAGGCACGGTGAGCGGCGCGCAGCTGGGCGGGTGGTTCAAGAAACCCATCACCAAGCTCGGCGATTTCCGAGGCCTGACCATCCGCTACACCGGCAATCCTATCACCGCATTCCAAGGAATGATCCTGAGCGAGGTGGGAGCCACACCCATCGCTGTTCCGGCCCCAGATATCAAGGCTGCCCTTGCGAACGGGACTCTGGACGGCGTGGAGGTGCTGGGGCCAGTAGCGGACGAGGCAGCCGCCTACTGGGAGTCCGGAGCGAGGGTGCTGCACTATCCGAGCTTTCAGGGGCCTGAGAGCACACACTTCCTGGTCCCCGACGCGGTCGTGGCTATGGCGACAGACAAGGCTGTGCGACGTGCCGCACAGGACGCGGTGTCTCTAAACAGCGCCGTGTTCTACGGCCCACGGGCGCAGGCAGCGCTGGACAGGTTCCGCGGAAAAGGAGTGACAATCCGACGGTTGCCTGTGCCCGTTGTACAGGGACTCTATCGCGCCTTCAAGAAGGTGGAGGCTCGTCATCGCGCTGAGGTCGGGCGTTCGAATCCCCTCTTCGCGCAGATCATCGACGAGTACAACGCCTACCTCAAGTCCACGATCAATCACTCCGTCCTCTCGGCGCCGGAGGCACAGCAGCTGCCAGCAAGGGATGACATCGTCGCACGCTTCATCGGAGTGCAGCCAACCGTCGCACAGCAGCGAGCAGAACTGTGCAGGAGGGTGTGAGTCAAGCCACCCGTCGCACCGTCGCACAGCAGCGACGAGAGCTGTGTACGGG